ACTGCACATATAGATCAAGGAACCATCCTGTTCTATGCAAAACACATTCTACTACTGTGTGAGAACTGTGTGGCAGTGGAAACAGTTAATTTAATGCTGTTTGCCATCAAAATTCCTTTTGAAACACAGTATTTATGATCAAGAACATTGTACAATCCACTATCCTTATCATGGTTGTAAACAAACACATATAAACAAGCACAAATAAACGTAGCCTAAGTCATTTCAACAATGATTCTAAGCATTTCTATGTTCTAAAACATTAGAACAATATCAGCAGAAGTACTAGCCTGGTTGCAAGGATGTTCCTCACAACACTCAACAGAGACCCATTTGCTTCCAAAGTGTGGCAAATTATTCTAACAAATCTCCTATCCCTGCTAAGAAAAGAAGATAAAACAACTGTAAATCTCTAGAAGAAATAAAATTATGGTGTGGGAATCAAATAAATGTTACTCTCCATTCTCCTTTCCCTGATGTTGTTATTACATCTCAATAAAAATATCAAGTACCAAGTGTGAGTCAATCACAGCTGAAAGACCATACAAATTCAGGAAGAAGAAAAAAATTCAGGAAGAAGAAAGAAATGAACACAATTTTCCTCTTTTAGTGAAGGCTTATTAACAAAATAATTTATTTGCTTTTGTCTGTTTTTTATTTATAATACATCTACTTACATATTTAACAAATTTCTGGTCTACCCAACTCTAATAAATCTCTGGGCAACTTAACATATAAAACAGAAAAAAAGAAGAAGAAGAAATAAAATTCCAAACACAGTGTGATCCTTGTTTATGTATTTGTAACTACTAGTTACAAATGTTTATGTATTTGTAACTACTGGTTATGTTTATGTATTTGTAACTACTGGTTGTTTTAAAAAGTAAGAGGAATACAGAACACTATTTCCAAAAAGAAGCATTTCAATTCTGATGGCCAGATACAGTCAACAATAATGTTCAAAATATAGTGAGCGTGTTCATACAATGCACTAAATCCACTCAAATTAAGGAAAGTTGGATTAGCAAGATATTAAAAAAACAGGCTACACCAGATACAATTATACTTAGAATATCCGCAGTGAAAATTAATGGATCTTGAATTACACATAATGCAGTACAATGAGACACATTTTAGTCAACTCTTATTCACTACTGCAAATCTTCCAGCATTTCCAGAATATACTGAAACAGGTTGCTATGATAAATAGCGACTAGCTTATGTGTGTGTTTGTAAGACTCTGTATCTAAAAACAGATTCTATGATAACACTAGAAAACCAAATAAATAAATATTGAATTCCAAGGGGATACTGGCCTTGAAAAGTGAATTACATAATCTGCAGACTTTAATGGAAAAATACTAGTTCCATTAGTGCTGAAGTAAAAGGAAAAATAGAGAAGTATAATATAAAAGATTGTGCTAATAAATGATTCAGATAAAAATAATACATGACAGAAAGCAGCAGGTAAGGTTAATTTAAATCAACCTTCTTTTAAATTCATATTTTAAGAAATAGAAGAAAAATACAATTAGTAAGTTTTTAATGTTACTTCTATCCAATTTTTACATAGGCAATTCTAAAATGTAATATATACCCTGTTTTCCTGAAAGTAAGCCTTACCCGAAAATAAGCCCTAGCTTGATTTTTGGGGGTGGGTGTAATATAAGCCCCACCCCCAAAATAAGCCCAAGTTTTGGGGTGAGGCACAAACCTAAAAATCAAACTAGGGTGGGGTTGGGGGGTGGATCTGCCCCACATGCCCCGCACCCACTTACTTTGCAGCCAGGCCTCTCCTCACCGGCCCACTTCTTCTGCAGACAGGCCTGCATTTCAGTTACAGGCCTTTCCGGAAGGCCTCTGCAGCTGAGAACCGAGCTATAGCTTGGTACTTAGCTGTAGTGGCCTTCCAGAAAGGCCTGAATGTGAAATGCAGGTTGGAACGCAGCTGCAGAATGAAGCTGCTCCTTCAGCCGCAGAAGAAGTGGGCCAACTGGGCAGGGCTGTCGGTGCCAGAGGTGAGTATAAAAGACATATCCTGAAAATAAGACCTAGTGCCTCTTTTGGAGGCAAAAAAAATAAAATAAGATCAGTCTTACTTTCGGGGAAACAGGGTAGCGTTGTTTGATTATGTATGATCAAATCCTCCTTTGCCAGACTTCTCAAGAGAGCAGGGATAATACATCCAAAATATGTTATTTTGAGCTTGTATAAGTGTGCTTCAACTAAGAACTTAGTATTGATTTGTTAAATTATTCATTTGTTTATTTCCTTGATTAGCCAAGCTATGCTCGGGAATCTTGTGTATCATCAAAGTTCAAAAGCATCGATACTCTTTCTGTTTTGCTACTTCAAAGTTTTGTGCTTTCATAAACTGTCACAGGGAAAGCTATTGCCCACCTTTATAGATATAGAGAGAATTTAAATATATGCAGCATGCATCTTTATTACAACACCGGGATTTATTTTCAATCTTGATACATGAGCACTACTTCCTTTGGAAGCATTTGGAGCAACACCATGAAGAGTAGCAAGGCATTAAACTTTCACATAAAACCAATTCTGACATTAAAATATTTATATTTAACTAAAAATAATTTTGAGTTTTAAAATAAATTTTAGCATTAAAATAAACACAGCTACTATAGAAAGCCCTAATCTAGCATGTGTATGTAAGATCAGCTATGGCAACATAGAAATCCTGGCTTGTAATAATTAATTTTGATTACTCAGAACTGACCAGTTGTGGAGAAGAAGCTAAGCTATTGTGAGATGTATTTGGTTGTGGTTTGTATGTTCTGCAAATGCAATCACTTTTACATTTAATCATGATTTATGATTTAACAAATTGAATGAAACTATCCAATTGTGCTTTATTCAGTATGGTATGGTGAGTAATTCATAGCTAAGTTTGATAGGTATCATCACAGGGAAATCTTTCTCTTCCAAAAGACAAACCAATAGCAAAACTGAATATATATTATGCCAGTTCATTAATTCTTTTTTAAAAATTATATCATTAAATATAAAATTGCAAACTCAAATAGACTTATTTTATATGGGAAATGCTGAAGTATCTTCTGAGTAAATAAGAATAGAATACAGTCCATAGTAATTATATACAGCGTTAGAGTTATATATTCATTCATCCCATCTGAAATAATAATATACTTCGGAACACTAGCAGTTTGTTCCTCTTCTGAGTAGCTAAAGATTAATAAATATTGATCTTTTACATAACTTTATCAAATTCATGAAACAGAAGATTTGCACTGCATAGTCTTAGAGAAAGTTCTCAACACTTTCACGGGTAAGTTGATTCCTTGATTATATTTAAGAATATAGCTACATGGTCTTATATTTTTTTTTAATTGCTGGTAAAAGTAGAAGCAGCTGAAGCAGGTGAAAAAGAAGTCCAGTCAAAAGTGTCATGGTATGATGCCTTGCTGCTATGCTGCAAGAGCAATGTGATTGCCAAACTACCAAATTTGGTCAAAATACATGGAAGTATTCTATAGCTTACATCTGAACGTATCTCCAGATGTAAAAAACACTATCAAGTTGCAAAAGTGCTGAGTGTCTCTACAAACATAGAAACCAGCTTAATTAACCCTTAAATATGAGCAACAGACAAAATATATGTTTCCACAGGCTTTGATGCAGATGTTTTTCCAGTTCCACTGACACATTATCGACTAAACTTCTACATACAAGTTAGGTAGTCCAATACTAATCACAGTCTTTCTTACTAGTATTAAAATCTCAGTAGCCAGATAAAGTTGTCATAACAATTTTGTATTAAAGTAAACTTTATTTGATGAATTTGTAATTCATTTATAATTTTGATTAAAATATTCCATCAGAGATCTTCATTTATCTCTGAGGATTGCAGTCCCTCTTCCATTTGCCTTATGGAGGCATGTTGCTTTGTCTCAATGCAGGGAAGTATTGACATGGAGGGGAAATATTCCACTTTTATAAACATCAAAGGAAGGTCAATTTGCATGAATCAGTTACTTTGCTTTGACAGAATTGGCTTCTGTACTAAGCACCACAGCTATTGCAGCAACTGGGAGAAGGATGCTCCAGTGCTTCAGAGAAACATGTCCAAGGGTCCTTTATTCAAGTTCTACATTTTATCATTTTATCTCAACTTACCATGCAATCCCAATGGATAAATAAAATACCTTTAAATTAGAAAAGCAAGGTTATATACTCTCCCCTATACCCATGATTTTCTAGCTTTTCATAGCTAAGTACAATTAAATAACATAAGCAACTATAATCTAAGTGATAAGTCTAGAAAAAAAGGCTTATTATAGTGATGAAAAACAGGAGGAGAACTGGGAATGATAGGAAAATTGTTGAGGTAAAGAGACTGTCATGTGAAGAAAGGACAACTGCAGTGAAAAGGCAAGTGTAATATAGACTTGAACAAATCATTTTCTGACAGAAAGATATAGATGTTGTTTACTTGAAGTGTTTTGCTTCAAATACTGCAAGCAGCCTGTTTCAGTCACCTGAATTCCAGATTGGCTTTATGAAAACTTCACTCCTTTCCAAATTAATCAACTTCTTTTTAAAACAAGAGTGTAATTGCTTAAAAGTGTGGCTCATAGCTGTATAACTATCATGCCTAAATTAGCTTTAAACTATATTTGTTATTATTTATTATTTCAGAAGAACAGTTGGATGCATCATCTGCTTGTCTCTATACAGAATTTCGTAAACTACATAGCTTATGAAAGGTTTGGACATGTTTGTAACTGAAGACAATTTTTGCTTTAGATCTGGCAGAAAACACAAATCAGATTGCAAATAATTAGAATTGTGAACACAAAATGATTAGCTTAACAGCATCAACAGACTCTAACCAAGTGTTCTTCTGATAAAGATGCATGCATTATTTGTGTAATTTTAAAAAAATTAAGATATTTTCAAGTTAAAGGCAATAAAATTCTATATAATTATATAAGAAAAAATATAAAATCAGAACCCACATGAGGATTTACCTTCCACTGCTCTCTTAAAGAAGACTTTGCAACTGCCACAGGTCACTACTCCATAATGGCATCCAGATGCTTCATCTCCACACACTAAACACACTTTAGAAGGTCTTGAAGATCCAGTTGAAACATTTCTCAATGATGAACTAGAGATAAATATAATAGGACTCATGAATATAAAATGCACTTGATACAAATTCTATTTTGTTATTAAATTTCCAATCCCATAATTTTGAGGCTTCCTCATTTTTTAAAAAATTAAAGAGCTTCATTTCTTTTAGCAATATGTATGTTACTTAGTTGTTCTTAATAGTACTTGATATATATAATTTTGTGGTTTAAAATACCATTAACACTCTATGAAAATTTTTATCTACCAACCCTTCCTTAAAATCTACATTTATTTGTTCACATTGCCAAGACATTTAGTCTTTTATAGTAGGCTATTCATTAAGAAAAAGATGACACAAAAAATCAGGGAAATATTTTTATGAAGATCAAGTATATTTAATATTCCAGTAGATGCCAAGATTATAGGAGGTCGGTTTTGGCATTTATCAGAATAAAGCTTTGATTGACTGAATGGATATTATTTCAGAGTAGAACATTATAAGGATTGCTGAACAACTGTTTTTTTTAAATCTGGTGAAGACTATCCATTAGTCTTAGGCCCAATTTAAAACTCTAAATAGATCCATACCATTTATCTTCATATAGTCTTCAGATATATATTCTTATTTTTTCAGTTTTTTTCCATTTTCATAAGAAACTAAATGGCTGCTCGTAATAGGAACATCATCATCCCTTAGCAATACACTGGCATCCTTAATATATGGGACTAAAAAAAATCAGCTCAAAAATTAAATTCTTATTTTAATATTGTGATATAATCCAATGATTCAGCATATTAAAAAAAACTTTGTCTTTATTTAAGAATTTATTTAAGAAGGTATGAATGAGTAAAAGTGCCATGTTTATTTTTTATTTTCTGAGAGCTTAAAGATGGCGCAAATAAGAATTTATTTACTTTATGAACTACTTTAGAGGAAAGATAATGACATGCTAAAACCACTACTGATTGGATTCACACATAGTAAGCAATAGATATGATTCATATATCACAATGCCTAGGTTCAAACAACTTGTAAATTCCACCTCTATTCTGTCCTCTCAGGTGGCTGAAGTCTGCTGCCCCCTTGTGAGCCTCTTAATCCTCTCAATCGTAATCCCAGACCAACAATTTCTACACTATACTGCCTATTTTAGAATACAAGAGAAAAAGTCAAACAATATTAGAGGCCTAGTAAATAGGTCTTTCTTTCATTTTTTTGTTTATTTATTATTTAAAATGTTAAATATAACAGTAAAAGGAATACAAATTAAACTCAGAAAAAGAAAAAAGAGAGATATAATAAAAAGTGCAAAGAAAGGAAAAATAAAAATATAAAAAAGGAAAGAAGTCTCTATTACATCAAGTAAAAGCAAATTGAATAACAAGTAAAAGCAAATTTGATAACGAGTAAAAGCAAATTGTATAACGCATCATCAGTTATAAAGTTACAACAAATCTCTCTTCTTCCCCATGCATCATCAACTTTTTAGACACGGTGTCCAAAAAAGTCCATAAACGGTTACCAGAGCTTTATTTTAAAAAAGTCTTCTTTTAACCTTGATTAAACAAACCAGCTTCATGTTCTTCTTTTACTTCTAACTTTTATTTAATTCATTGTCTTTCTTTTTTCAACCACAAAGCCTTCTTCAAGGCTTTAGCAAGTCTTTTTTGTAAGTGGAAAGTCATTATGTAGAATATTGTCCATGCCTTTTGTATTACACCTTTGATTTCCAAGCCTTAGCCATCTTTTTTTGTGATAGAAAGTACCTAAAGGGTGATTCTCTTGGCTTTTCTCTATTTTTGGAATCCACTTTTTCCTTTTTTATTTGTATTCCAGTTTTAATAGCATGTCTGTTTTGTAATCCACATTTTTTAAAATCCGATATCCAATATTTCTGATTCTATTTCTGTAACAAGTACAATTTGTTTCACATCTGTCACTCCTTTATTAACATCTTTTAAACACAAACTATCTATGTGTCTGAGCCCTTAATTCATTTGTAACTTTCTTAATTCAAAACCTTATTTACCTTTTTGCCATTTATTTCAAATTCTTTAACTTCTTAAAATTATACTTAATTTTTCTTTTGTTTATGAATAAAATTATATTCTTCAGGAACTTTTCAGGACTGTCATTTAAAAGACTTTTAATAGTTTTAAGATATTTAAATAAGCAATTTTCTAATATGATTTGAAGCAAAGTTAGCAAATTTGTAGTGGTTATGAACTTGATGATTAATACTTTTGTCTCCTGCTGTAAACTGCTATCCTGCAGTATCCTCACAAGAAGCAGCCATCAGGAGCACATGTTGGTAATCTCCTGTCCTCTCCTTACTTTAATAAATAACAGAACTGGTCTACTCAATAATCAAAATGTATTACAGCAGTAGCAATTTTACTTCCACATTTACAGGATATAAAACCACCAAACAATCAATATAATATAATCCAAAATTCAAAAAATAAAACATCGTATTAATTTTTTTTTCAGACCTTAATAATGGTGCGATGTATTGTGCAAATGGTGGCACAAAATTGGGCGACCTGAATTGATATTTTCGGATCCTTATACGAAAGTAGCAACTTTAGATAAAATTCATATCCCCTGCCTGGAAATTCCTTCAATATCGGATATATAAGAATCTGTCTAGAGTCTTTATATAAAGAGCAATGAAGCAACATATGGCTTAGAGTTTCTATAGAGCCATCACCACATGGACACAACTGAAGGTGCATAGGAATGCCCTTAAACCATCCAAAAAGGACTGCCGAGGCAATGCATCCAGCCTGGCTAAGGTGAAAGCTTTACGAAATTTTGAAATTGTAATGGAAAATAGACAAGAAGTGGAAAGAATCCTTCTGGAAGCAAGTGACAAATGTTGGAATGTGCCACCTTACTTAGGTTTGTTTGGAGATCTATATCGCAGATTTGTTGTTTCAAAGCAATTCTAGCATTATCAAATCCTAATGAACACAGACTTTCCATAGAGAAGCCCAGCAATTTAATTTTATCTAGGGCTTTTTTTTTCCATGACGATTTAAAATGATCTATAAATACTAATGGGGCTAAACCTACAGGCATCAAAATTAACTTTAACCAAAAGGTAAGAAGAAGGAACCATGCTCTAGCTTCCAATGAAACTGTACCTATTTCTACCCGTAGGATGGCATTTTTTATACTTTTAGGTACCATCAGTATGGCTCAAATAAACTTATTTTGAATAATTTCAATAGCATTAAGCTTTGCGAGTGAACATATTTGCTAGCCATAAAGGAGCTGAGGGACTGTCTTAGCTTGAAAAACCCTACAAGCTACCGGGATAAAGTAAGCTCCTTTTGAATGATAAAATTTTATGATAGCTGATGAAGTGCACTGTGCTACACTTGCCTGATAAAGACAATGAGTATTCCAGGATAGGGAGGCATGAAACTGCACTCCAAGATATTTATAGGTACGCACCTGTTCAACTGAAGTCCCATCAATTTGCCATTTATGGATCTTATGATGGTAAGAGGCAAATACTAAAACTTTAGTTTTTTCACAATTTATTAAAAGTTTGTATTCTATGCAAAATAAAGCTAGTGCCCTAAGTGCTTTTCTCATTCCCACCTGAGAAGTGGACAAAATGACTATATCATTGGCATACAATAGTGCTGGAATTGCACGATCAGCCAAAATAGGTGGATGATGGGCTGGATCAGCAAGCACAAGTTCTTTGGTTTTATTGTGGTGATTATCTCTACAAAGATATGTTTAACTCACTATGCCTCCAATGGAAATTCTTCCTGTCTTTCATTCTCATAGAATCTGCTTTTATCCTCCTGTCTAAGACCTAACCTTTCCAATAATGCCATTGCTACTACTTTAACAAAAAAAGTGTCCAAGCATTTGGATCAGGATGGTTACCTTGTTTTCCTTAATTGGGAATTTCAAAAGCTCAGTAAATATCTTTCTCTGATTTGAATCCTGGTCCTAATAACATTTATCCTCTTTCCACAAAAAACAATCCTAGGATTCAGTTATGTTGAAGTAAAAAAAATTAACATAAATAATTGAAGAGCAGGGAAAGAACTGAAGTGTTTCAAGCATAGCTTTTGAGGTGACTATGATTTGGGAGTCTTTAAATGCATTTCCCTTTTCCTAAAACTATAGAACTTTTATCTCACAGACATGAATCATTCACATAAGAAAGAAGAAATACATATTCCCCTTTCTGCATTGAGCAAAGGTAGCAAAAGTAGACAACAGAAGAGCATGATTGGAGGTAGGGGAAGACCAAATTGTGTAAAGATGAAGAGATGAAAAGAAATAGACAGATGCAGGAAAAGCAAAAAACAAAGCCCTAAAACAATTTTTAAGCCTTACAAAATAGGTTTAAATTCAACTAATCATTTCAACAGCTATCTCTTCCCATTTCCCTTTTTAAAGAATATTCTATTCTTCTAAGCCAAGATTAGATATTCTAATTAATAGGCATTATTGAAAGAAAATGTTAATTTTCTTTTGGAAAGAATAAGGCTGCCTTTAATCTGTCACCGATGTGTTCACAATAGAACACTAAATCATAAACAAGAGTTTAGAAATCACAAGGACTAGACCAGTTATAGTGAACCTTTTAGAGACCGAGTGCCCAAAACCCGCCCCGCTGCAGGGCCACTCACCACAGATCGCCCAGGCGGCCTTGCAGTGCCATGGCGGCCACGCCCTCTGCCCACACCCCACAGCAACATCTGCACATGATGGGGCACGAGGGTGGAGTCTTGCCCCTGCTGCCTGGCTTCCATGTGCTTGGCTGCTCTGCTCTGCATGGGCCGCGTTTCCTCCAGGCAGGTTGCTGGTGAGGCAGGGCTGGGGCAATGGCATGCGTGCCCACAGAGAGGGCTCCGAGTGCCACTGTCAACGCTGCAAATATTGTATATTCTTGCTTTTGACAATATGCAGAATTGTCTGGTAAATATGGGGTTAATAAAGAGCAGAAGGGGCGTTGGGGGTAAAGCCCGGGAAAGAAAGAGGAAGAAAACATTTGAACTTCA